TACCTAATTGAATGCTGATTTATGGAGTTGAGGTGGTTAAACAAAAAAAGTTGCATTCGACATCATATATGATTATAGACTCATTAGACAAATAATTGGTGATACTTATAGTATATAGACCACTAATATGGATTATATTACCAACTATATAGTAAATTATAGTAAATATAAGAATCTATAGCCAATACAATTTATTATTTTTATTATTTTGTTTTCTATTGCGTGGTACAATGTACTACTGTAGGTATACAATTTATAAAGTATATTAAATTTATAAAAACTTTTTATTATACATGTGACTAAAAAATCCATTATAAATTTATTTTCGGTATTACGATATTGGTATTCTGCAGTATAATATGAAACTATATAATTACTGAAAATAATGTCGTACTGCATGAATACATGAATTACAGATTAATATAAAAAAAATACAGAACAGTGTCTTAATCTTTTTGTTTGAATTATCATAGTTTTTTTGTAATATAATATTATTTGTAGTTTTAGTATCACCATTAATATCTGAGTGTTATATAATTAATATAATATATAGGTAGGTAATGTAAAAGTTTGTGTATACACAAATTAGGATTAGGATAAACGAGCTCCATCCGTCACAGATGATCCACGTACAAACTACAATATATTCACAAGTCACAACCTATAGAAAACTAGAAAATAATAATAATAAATAATAATAGAACATAATATACAATGTGTTATATTTTTGCTGCTCAAATTTAGCGTGAGCTTGATGAGTATTGAGCATGAATGATTGTAAATTGTTAATTTATTGTTCTATTTAAAAATTAACCTACCTATATATAATTTTAATTAAGTACCTAATAACAATACGTTTAAGCCAATTCATTAAATCAAGTGCAATTAATCAAATGAACGATTGTTTACAAACATTACAGTGAATGATTTTTTTTTTTTTAATCGTACAAATATATTTCAAGGATGAATTATGTGTATACAGTACCTACCAGCTCAGTGTTCAATGACAAGATCTTCTTGATATTGTCGAATGTGTTCAATATCCGCTAAATCCTTTTACGGATATTATTGTATTAAATATACGTTACATATTATATCAACTGTATGTGCACTTCATTTCCTGCTTTAATATCAGTAAATATTAATAACATTATATTATATAGGTTTAGCCGTATATATATATAGTGTACCTACACTTTTAGTACCATACACAATATACATTTTATTATAATATTTTCCATAGATGCCCAAGTAAAGAACATGAGGTAATTAGACACCATTTATTTTTAAGGAGTTCAATGAGGTAATAATAATGTAAGACGTAAGTTTGTGCRTATATGTGTGCTGTACAAGCCATATTAATATATTATATGTTATTATTTATGTGTAGTAACTTAGCATTATTCACTATAGTTACCTATGTAGGTAGTATATGTGTAGGTATGTATAGTATGATTCTAGTATGTTTATGTATGTGTGAATTTAACATGTCACTGATACAGAGAATTAGATAGGTACTATGAAATAAACATTATATGAGAGCTGGTACATGATTTGTTTTCGGTCGGAAATATAGCTCACGACTTCAATCACTATGCCTAATGCATAATGTTTTGATTTTAATTTTGAACATAGATTTTAATTCGTAACTCAATTATCTATATTCTATGATATAACAATTTTTTTTTTGATTTTTACTTAGAATTTTACCACCAAAAAAAAGTAAAAATAGATCATATTATTCATGATTCAAATTTGAATTGCTATAGAATATGAAAAAATACGATGGTTAAAGAATAGTAAGTTTAAAGGGAAATTCAAATCTATTTTCAAAATAAAAATTGGTACATTCAACTGTCTGGTAATGGAAAAGTTACTGGCAATATTTTTTTTWAAAAGAAAAATTTTTCTAATTTTATATTAGGGAAATAGGGTATTTGACATATTTCTGCGCAATTTATATTCCAGTGATGGTACGAGCCGTCGCCGGTACCATTGGACATTGGTACAAGACTTTAAAAATTAAATATACCATAACATTTAATCACTTCTCACCCAGAAACACAGATTAAGAATGTTACCCGTTTAGTACTAGTTAACTAGTTAGTATAGCAATTATGTGTATACAAAAATAATAATTTCTGAAATGCTAAAAAACTACAACATTAAACTAACAAAATTCGACTATATTTAATTTGATGCAAAATTAACCCGTGATAAAACTCACTAATTAGGCGAGTGTCAACGATTGCTGATACCCTCAGACTTTTAAAACGGATCTGGCCTAGAGACCTACTAATTTAATCTGTATTGTAACGGGTAATACAGGGTACATATTACTGYAATAATAAATACCTATCAAAATAATTATTGATTTTCAATTTTCATAAGGTAAAAAAAAAACATGTATATATTTCAGATCTACAAGAAACTTTTGGCGATGAAAATTCATTTTTTTTTTTTTTGGCATTGTCAGTAAGAATACGTTTTAATTATTTTATACATTTTACAATGCTACACGTCATATTTACTATTACTTGACATCAAAGATGTTATATAACAAGGGTGGCCATACCGCGGCTCGCATCATATGGTAACATTTTTACAAAAAAACCCTCCGATTATTTGCAGGGAATTGCTCATAATTTTCAATTCCAATCTTGCTAAATGGCCAAGTTTAGGGGGCATTCGTCGTTTTAAAAAATAAATTTAATAACATAATAATTATCCATAATTTTCAGTTTCATATTAGTTAATTGTTATTCTAATAATTAGTCCCATAGAAATACATTTGTTTTGCGAAAAAACATACCATCGGCGTATTTACTATCGGCGTAGATACCGTCGGCGTTGATACCGTCGGCGTAAAGACAATATGATACCTTTGCATGCACCCGAATCTGGTTCGTGTGTGAAACGTACGAAACCGGCTCTCTCACAAGCAATACACCGATCTTTATCCGCCTTGCACTGCTTCTGTTCGTGACCCGGTTCATCATACCGTCTGCAATTCAGGGACAGATCCGGCCCAGAGCAATTTACTACTCCTGTGCCCGAAGCCACGACATCGGAAACAATTCTCCGGTTCTGACGTYTAGGACGTACACGGCACATAGTCCATCCAACCGGGATCCTGGTTACGGCAGAAGCAGAAGCTCTGGTCATTCTGKCTGTTGCAATTTCCTGACCAGACCTAGTGGACCAGAGACATGTGACTTGAACAGCCTACCGATCGTAAATGGTGGCTTGGTCGTCCTCAGCTCTAGGTATTGCCGTCCKCAATGCAGCGAGGACCTCGCCCTCAGTCGCCACAGCATCATCGAGGTCGACAATATCAACTACGGCGTACCAAGGTGCGACACCGCACCGACCCCTTCTGGTCGCGATGGCAGAAGACAGCTTTTGAGCTGCTTCGACCRATCCAACACCTTTGGCTAGCTCGACCAACAGATGCCCGTCCCTACTCCCTAGTCCTGCGCTCCCATTTCCGCCAGATTGAGGGTTGTAAGGTTGTAACCTGATACCTGAATGTATGTAATTTACAAATTTAAGAACWAMACTCATCACATGTTCATATTTAAAATATTTAGTAGTTAGGTGTTCTCTATGAATAATGCAGTGAATTGGAATAAAGTCTGGAAAGTCAKTATCACATTGATCAACATTAGATTTAATCGATAAAAATTAACAAAACTAAACCAAGTTAACACCTGCGTATACRTTACATCATAACGTTCGATAGCCGACGACAGTAATACCGTCYAATTAACTTATTTTTTTTTTWAKKGRAAWWAMMARRWTAAAAAAGAGAACAGATAGGYACAACGCAATTTCACTTAAATCCTATGCATTAACGAAATAAAAAATCAATAATCCTTATAAACGTGTACAACATGCGTGTAGTATCGATATAATATGTAGGTATCTATAAAATGTATAATATATGTCACATATATACAGAGTGATGAACTGCGTTTTTTTCGTTTAAAGGAAAACAATGCAGTTAATTTAATGTTTTTCGAGAAAAATTGATTTGTATTATAAAATATAATTTATTTTTGTCAAATGCATTATATTTTTATTTATTTATTATTTGATGTGAAATATTTAGAAGGCTATAAAATTATCTGCAAGAAAGTTAATCTAATAACATATAATTATARTTTTTAACAGATCACAAATCAAATATAGTAATTTAAAATTAATTTACTAGCATTTACATTCTCGTATATAATGGTTTATTTATATCTATATCCTTTACATTATATAACACAAATGGTATCAAAATAACTGCCTTCTACAAAATTTTCAATACCAATATACATTTCTTTATATTATTAAATATTGTACGCTTTTTTATTTTGTGATTGGTGAGTTATTCAGTTGAGAAAAATAATATTTTTTTAACATTCTTGTCAGAGATTTGACGTGTTACTATACTTTTTAAAAGGATGTATTTGTATATGTGTATAAAAATTAAAGATAATTCTAAAACCACTTAAAACAGTCAAAATTATGTTTCTTACTATCTCGGCACTGTGCGTAATCGTATACCCAAAAAGGTAAAACACGCCCATCATACTTCACTCAAAAAATTTCAGAAAAATCGGCTTAGTAATTTTCCCGCTTAGCGGGGACTAACTAAAAACTGCTTACACTACCTATAATAAAACTTGTTGGTTAGAACATTATTTGTGTTTTATTGCAAGTATATTTACGATGATTAAGTTTTTCAGTGAGTTATGAGCATTTTTATTTTACAATTTATTATACTTGCATTACTATTAAAACACTGAATCATTGTAAAAATCCCGACAAAACACAGATAATGTTATTACCATAAAGTTAATGCACTCAAATTTATAAGCTAGGTAATGGAGTAAAACATGAACTACAGAGCTTAAATTTACTATGTTCGCTTTTGTAAGACTGAGGCAATAAATACGGGTGTGGCGTCCTCTTAATTCTACAGTTTCGACGATGATGGTTTTACATTTATTCGCTTAGGTAACAACTAACAGGTGTATTATCATATTAATATTTAGTACATACTGCATATACAATCTTTGTATAGGATTTTACTGATTTTTTTATGGATTTTATTTAAATGTATATTTATTATATAAGATAAATATAACGTACGACACACACGTAGTATAGTAATATTGTTGAAGTTTTAAAACGTCAAGAAATTACAGTCCGCCGTAATAGTATTCAAGATATCACATTAATAATTGTATCGGTGACCAGTGATCGTCTTTACGAAAATATAAACCGAGAGCGATGGGATTTTTAAACATTAACACAGGTCTATTGATCATCAAGGYGCATTATTTTCTTTTCGACGCAGGTAAGTATTACGTTTAATAATAATAAATTGCGGGAGTAATTTATTCATTCCATTTACGTTCGTGAAGTTGGCCTACCTAAGTACAWACTGCAATATTTTCGAAATCTTTGTCATTATTTTGCAAGTTATTTGCAAGTWWTTGAAAGTATACTTTTAGAATTTGCAAGTCCAAACTTTTACCGTGAAACAAAAATATTCAAATTTGGCCAACTTCACGTAGTCCACTCAAGTTGTCCCAGAACTTAAAGATAGACTTTATACGAAAGYAAATGATTAGCAAGTATTTGCAAGTTCGTTTTTAGAATTTGCAAGTAACTCGAACGACCTCTACGAACTTTTAAAGTTAGAAAATGAGGATTTGGTTTAGTGTAAAAAGGAGAGGAGTACAAATTTTTTTAAAGAGGGTTAAAATAGATGATAAAAATTTGGTACAAAATAATGAGATAGGTCAAAAATCGATCGGTTGACTTCTGGTGGTTCCACCTGCAAAGACGACGTCGTTACAGCACCCAGATTGGGGATTTGGTTTTGAGTAAAAAGGAKAGGGATACAATTTTGTTTCAAGGGGGATACAAATTTTGTATTTAGGTATTTATTTGATTTAGATTTTTTATTCAATTATAGTAAGTTAAGTGTGATTTTGTGTATTATCTTAACAATAAATTTAATATYTTWTGTGGTGTCACAAAATCATAGAAATATTAGTTAGATCTAAWTAAATATATAATGTCTTTAAAGCAATGGGATTAGCGAAATCTTTACAAWTCCTTATAATAAWATCTAATATAATTGATGATTTACTCGGTGTATGTAATAAGTGTTTATTGGAAAAAAAGTGGTATCAAATATTACACCTAATTCATTCATATCATGACATTTTTTWAAAATAAAGTCTTATTTAGGAACATAAATTATTTATTATTATTAATCCGTAAATTCTTCGATCTTTTTCGTAGTCTTAKATCTATACTATACTTGATAAAATACAATTAAGAATATAGTATATATTTGATTGGTTTAATCAATTATTACTTATGGTATTGAGAGTTTGAGTTYTTCTTATGATGTCCTCTTATTAAAACTAAAAGTAACTATAAATTTATTAATTAAATTCATATTTAAGTTACCAARCTATACAAGTRCTATACTGATATTATATTACCTATATAAGGAATTAAATGTGTTTAATTTTGAAAAGTTATTTAAAAAATGTTTATTATTAGTTGTATTTAAACATAGAAATATTGTAATAATATGCTACCATGTGAACATTTTTTTAAGTAGGGTTAAAATGGACACAAATAGGGTACAAAAAAATGAGATATATCCGAAATCGATCAGTTAATTTCTGGTGGTTCCGGGTGCCAGGTACAATACCAAGATGGGGAATTCAGTTAAGCATAAAAGGAGAGGGGTATACATTTTTTAGGGAGACTACAATCTCAAATTTAACGAGTATTAAAAGTTCAATATTTTTGATAGTTAATATTTAATTTTAAAGCCAGTAACCTTAGTTCATGATGTAGTGTGAATTTTTTTGTTGATCAGTTTTTTCGATGTAATTTGTTGTGAGTTAGCTATGAGGCTATGACCATAATGGCCAATCTATTATAGTCGAACGTGGTCAGCTCGAACTTCATTCACTCGAAATCATCAATGCCTCGAACTTTTTCCCTCGGTTCCTGTCACCGCCGGTCATAGCTACGCCCATTATTATTCCTCTTGTTGCTCTCCCGACCAACAGTGCCAGCGCTTCAATCCACTCCGCGTAAATAGTTAAGGCCAAGGCTATGCTCTCAAATCAGCTGCCGTATACTATTCTTATTGTGAACAGAGTATAGACCTAGTTCTTTATGTTTGGATTTTTTGATTACTCAAATACTTATGGGATAACTTGAATTTTTTTGTCTACCCCTTAGTAACTTCAAGTGAACTAAGTTCGACTGTACCATGATTAAAGCAGATACTTACCAGAAAAAAAGTTAATATATATATATATATATATATATATTTTTTTTAAAGGTCACTAACTTTTTAACTAATTAACTCACTGTATAATAGAAAGTATATCCAATGTATAATTATAATCGGTACCGGTATGACGGTGTGGTTTGACAAAATAGTGTCCAAAATTAAAATTCKATTATTTTGAGGCACGAGGAAAGCACTTGTTTATTTAAAACGATACTAATATATATATTCGTGTTATTGTGCTCGTGAATAAATTCATGTGTTTTCCAGGAAATTCRCCCATCAACCCATTTCTGTCGACGATCGCCAAGCAGCTGGGCTTCTCACCGTCAGTGGTCGGTCATATTTTCACATTTCTAATGCTTCTGAACATCGTGGTCAAACCACTAACTGGATATATCACCGACAGATGGAAATGCCGGCGGACCGTGTTTTTGGGCGCCATCCTCCTCAACGGTCTCATAACTCCTATGCTGTACTTCGTGCCAAGCGCCACATCGTATGCCGACGAGATGTCAGACACCAAGGTTTTTGGATCGCTGCAGTTCTGGATGTTTTCGACAATCGTCACACTGAGGATGGTGTTGTTCATGGTCGTCGTAGTCTTGCAGGAGACTATATGCATGAGAATCTTAGGCACGACCACGATTAGAATATATATATATATATATTATATATTATTGTATTGTGCATGTTAGTTGTTATTTCCAATACCATATTGGGAGTGATTAAGGCCATTTTAAGGGGCAGTGGTTGTAGATATTTTGGGCGGCGGTCAACTACATGATATATTATATTGATTAAACAACTAGCTTTATTTTATATATTTTTGGATATAGATACGGATACTCTATAAATTACTTATATATTATTTCCTTGAATTTTTTGCTATAAATATGAATTGGAAACTAATGTATCATTTTTTAACTAAAACATTTATTTATTATTWGGTATTCACTGCATGTTTGAAGGAGTATACAATTTTGTGTGGTTTATACAAATAAATAGTGTTTCGAAGGCATAATATTATTATGCACGTCGTGTAAAACTAAAATATTTCAAAAAAGATTAGATTAACATTAGATGTATGAGTTGGACGATAGTGATAATTATACATCAAAGATCAAACATAAGCATCATAGTTTTTTAATTTTAAATACGATMAAAAAATAAAGCTTACATGACTGGCATAAATCAGTCTTGATAGATCTTACTATAATCTTAAACCTTTGTTTAGTAAATATTTGAATCACACAAATTTTGAAAATATACCATTTATTATTCACTGTGATCAAAATCCTGGGTTACTTATTTGCCTCAATTACTTTGGATCAATATAAATAACATTCACTTACCTATTATAATTAGTTAGTTAATAATTATTTAATGCAATTTAGCTTTCTACTCATCGATTTTGTTTCCTGTACTTTTTGAATTCGTGGATTTTTTCCCTGTTACTGATGTCAACCTATAATGAATTTCTACAATGCATTGAATGCAATATTATATATTATGTATATATTTATTATTTTCAATAAACAATATCAGTAGTCCACACACAAGATATACCATATGTTTTATTGCATAATTATTGATTTTTCCAGGTGGAGACACCGTCAAGTTTGGAATGCAGGTGCTCTGTGGTGCAGCTGGATGGGGTACCATGTCTATAGTGGCAGGAGGTATTATTGACTGGTACAGCAGTGGCCAAGCACAAAAGAACTATCTCCCCGCATATTTGCTCTCGGCCGTCTCATTTTTCCTAGATTTCATGGTGGCGTTCCACATAAAGGTATTTCCATGCTTAATCTCACAACAAAATAGTTAAGGTTTTACATAATGCTGTATAATAGAGTATAGACAATCTCAAACGTTGAGATACATAAAGTYACTGTAGTAGAAATTTAATTTAACTACGAGTGAGTAAGTCCAAATTGTGTGTGATGCTAATGAAATAATTTTCTCTTATCTATGCCATATGTATAGGGACATTATTTTCGGTGTTTTTGACGCAGGTACCCGAAACCGATGGACCGACAACAAACATAATTGCGGACGTGAATGTAGTGTTGAAAAACGCCAAAGTATGCGTTTTCCTTGTTTGGGCAACATTCTTTGGATTCTTCATGGCGTACATTTGGTTTTATTTTATCTGGTAAATATTCAAATACATTTTAATATTATTTCATAATTCATACTACCGCAAGTCTATATAAAAACATTTCAATCAAATCAAAATGTGGCGCAAGCT